ATAATAAATCAGCATATTAGAATGATTTCTGAAGATCACGTGACACTGAAGACTGGAGTAATGATGCTGAAAATACAGCTTTGATCACAGAAATAAATTACAGTTTAATAGATATTCACATAGAAAACAGTTATTTTAAATTTTAATAATATTTCACATTTTTACTGTTTTTACTGTATTTCTGATCAAATAAATGCAGCCTTGATGAGCAGAAGAGACTTCTTTAAAAACATTACAAATCTTTCTGATCCCAAACTTTTGACCAGCAGTGTGTGTATATATAAGTTTTAATCTTACAGCAAACAGGTTGTTAAATTATAAAGCCCAGAAAGAGACAAAACATAACGACACAAAAATAGACACCAAAATAAATTATGAATGCTTTTAGAGCAAGAAACCTTGCCTAACATAATAGGAGGATTTAAGAAAAAAAAAATTAATAAAATGCAAACGTGTAACGTTATATTATGATCCCATTTACCCCTAATAACATATACATAAATATATCTCTCACAACAGTTAAGCGTGTATAGAACTGAATCGAATCGGACTTCAAAGCTGCCCTTTTAACGAATTATAACAAACACCGAAAGCGCATTAAAATACCAGAGTTCAGTATAGTGCTTTGGTTCAGAGCTTTCTTTTTAAAAAGTATAGACAAGTATAATTTTGAGCCGAAAATTCATTGTGAAAACATTTTTACCTCACGTCCAGATCACGCCGCCGTCGCTGCTGTAACGCGCATGCGCGCTGAGTGACGCACTTCCTGTTCCTGTTATTTAGAAGTGCGCAGCTTTAATGTTAAAGGTAAAATACGATGCCACAGCAAAAGTGTCCGTTTTCCCTTCCAGATGTACTGTAAAGTAATTTAATTGCACAACGGTACAGTGGGGATGTACAAAAGTCCAAAAAAAAAGTTTTTAAAAAAAATGTATTTACCAAGACATCATTAAAACGGAAAAATCATCATCAGAAATGCTATTTTTAAGTGACAGACTTGCCTTTGTTATTTTTTTATTAAATTAAAAATTCAAAAAAAAAAAAAATTTTTTTTTTTTTTAAAGTGGTACAGCAGCGCCCTCTTCCGGCTGCACGTGTTCAGTTCCTGCAGCTCACACACTGACTATGTGTGTATGTGTGTGTGTGTGAGAGAGAGTTTAGTACGCTTGTTTCAGTTCATTTGGCATTAAGGACGCGATCAGAGGAGCTTCTGAACACAACAGCAGTATGACTGATAGTATGGACGAGGAGTATCCGATCTGACTCTGATGCTGGGAAGAAAACTGCTGTCTTAAGTCATTAAAATGCGCGTTAATGAGACGAAACTGCTGTGAAAGAGCTGAAGATGCGATTCAACGAGAAAGAGCTGGTGTTCCTGAGCCGCCAGCCGTCAGAGAGAGCGGCCGAGCTGGGCATGAGAGGCCCGAAGAAAGGAGACGGTAAGCGGCGACCACTTCATCCGCATGAAGTCACGGTTATCTGTGGAGTCTCACGAAACGCGAGAAAACGAGACCGCTGCCGTTAAAATCAACCACATAACTAGAAAACTGTCAGTTTCGGAATCGCATGGTAGCGTACTACTCGCACTATTTCTGTCTTGTTAAGATGTGACTGTAATGGTTAAAGTAGTATGCTATTACGAGTACAGCTATGTTCGTACTGCAGCGTCCAATCGCATCAGGAGTAGGCGAGTCACGTGACCTCCGCTACGGGATTTGCATAAAGTAGATTTCTGTTCTGCTGCGTCCGAAATCGCATACTTCTCTACTATATAATATGTGGGAAGTATGCGATTTCGGACGCAGCGCATCGAATGCTCACTTCAGAATCTGGGCAGAAGTAGTAGGTCATCCGGGTACTTTTCGCCTACTGTTTTTTTTTAATACTATGGATTCGGACATACTACTCGCCTCGCATACTGTTTTTCACCTACTATATAGTAGGGAAGTATGCGATTTCGGACGCAGCGCATCAAATGCTCACTTCAGAATCCGGGCAGAAGTAGTAGGTCATCCGGGTACTTTTCGCCAATAGTTTTTCGAATACTATGAATTCAGACATACTACTTGCCTCGCATAATGTTTTTCGCCTACTATATAGTAGGGAAGTATGTGATTTCGGACGCAGCGTATCAAATGCGCACTTCAGAATCTGGGCTGAAGTAGTAGGTAATCCGGGTACTTTTCGCACAACAGCAGTATGACTGATAGTATGGACGAGGAGTATCCGATCTGACTCTGATGCTGGGAAGAAAACTGCTGTCTTAAGTCATTAAAATGCGCGTTAATGAGACGAAACTGCTGTGAAAGAGCTGAAGATGCGATTCAACGAGAAAGAGCTGGTGTTCCTGAGCCGCCAGCCGTCAGAGAGAGCGGCCGAGCTGGGCATGAGAGGCCCGAAGAAAGGAGACGGTAAGCGGCGACCACTTCATCCGCATGAAGTCACGGTTATCTGTGGAGTCTCACGAAACGCGAGAAAACGAGACCGCTGCCGTTAAAATCAACCACATAACTAGAAAACTGTCAGTTTCGGAATCGCATGGTAGCGTACTACTCGCACTATTTCTGTCTTGTTAAGATGTGACTGTAATGGTTAAAGTAGTATGCTATTACGAGTACAGCTATGTTCGTACTGCAGCGTGCAATCGCATCAGGAGTAGGCGAGTCACGTGACCTCCGCTACGGGATTTGCATAAAGTAGATTTCTGTTCTGCTGCGTCCGAAATCGCATACTTCTCTACTATATAATATGTGGGAAGTATGCGATTTCGGACGCAGAGTATCAAATGCGCACTTCAGAATCTGGGCAGAAGTAGTAGGTAATCCGGGTACTTTTCGCCTACTGTTTTTTCGAATACTATGAATTCGGACATACTACTCGCCTCACACTGTTTTTTGCCTACTATATAGTAGGAAAGTATGCGAGTTCGGACGCAGCGGAACAGAAATCGACTTCATGCAAATCCCGTAGCGGAGGTCACGTGACCCGCCTCCTCCTGATGCGATTGGATGCTGCAGTACGAAATCGCATACTTCCCTACTATAAAGTAGGCAAAAAACAGTGTGAGGTGAGTAGTATGTCAGAATTCATAGTATTCAAAAAACAATAGGCGAAAAGTACCTGGATTACCTACTTCTTCCACCCAGATTCTGAAGTATGCAGTCGATGCGCTGCGTCTGAAATCGCATACTATTACTATACTAATATATATATATATATTTCGGACGCACCGTTCAACTTTTCACCTCATCGCCAGTGATCGCCATTGCTTACGTCAACTTAAAATCACCAAAATTTAAAACAAAATTTATGGCCTGTTCACACTAAGAACAATCAACATAAAGATAACTATATTAGCATTAATTTAAATTAGAACATTTTTAAAACTATATTGTTATAGCTATCGTTCTTGGTGTGAATTGGCTTTTATAATGAAGCTGTCACTTTGCAACAACACTATAATACTGTCAGGATAATCAATAGGCGCGTTTCCATTACCCTTCAAATTGCGCAAATTGAAATTGCGAATTGAAAATACGCCTAATGGGAACGCGTAAATTTCGCAAAAATGCCCATATATCGCAAAAAAGTGTTTACACTCGAATGAGGTGGTTTTTCAGGCAATTCGAAAAACGAATATTTCACAAATCTGCAATGGAAACTTTTTTCGCATTTACAGGTCACATGGCATACGTAAAAAGTCATATGAAGCGGTTCTCTGTGCTGCTTCGCTAAAGATACACGCCTACCAAAATCCGTCGCCATGACTTAACGCGAGAGGAAAAAATTACGTTTTACTCGCATGACAACGGTTAATGGAAATGACGCCAATTGCAATAGTTTTTTTATCGACATTTATAGAATATAAAAGAATCGCAAAAGTTTTGCGTAAATTTGTAATGGTTCCGCACCTACCGAAACTATCACATTATGCGACAATTACGCAACTTTCCCGTAATAATAATTTGCAAAGTTGTCAGAATGCAACAAACGACAATTCTCGTAATCATCTAAGCGGTTGTAATGTAACAAAGCAAGACTGCACTTGTTATACTTAATGATGGCGTTTCTACACATTGCGATAAAATCTGTCAGGAATTTAATCGCTGTTGGTCATCAGTAGTGTACCAAAAGCATCAGGAGGCGGATCACATGACATCCACTACGTGCACTCCCATTGGTTGTTGATGCATTTGCATAAAGTTGATTGCATCGTCAGCTTGGTGATCGTGCCATCTGGTTTCGTCGTCATTAACGATAAATGTTATAATCAAAAAAGCTGTCATGACGCAAAACAAAACTACTATACTCACATTTGAATTAACTACTATACTCACATTTGAATTAACTAAACTATCAAAAAATTTAGCGTTTCTGTCATAATCCACAAAGTTGTGGAAAACTAAAGCGCTCACATCAGATTCATTAAAGCCGCTTTTACGCAACAAAATTAAAAGGCTCCCAAGCTTCACCATGGAGGAAAAAAAAAAAAGGTAATTGCGACTTTTTTCTCGCAATTGCATCTTATCATCTCAGAATTCTGACTTTTTCGCTATTCTGAGAATTGCGAGATGTAAACTCAGAATTGCGAGATTTAAACGGGTAATTCTGAGGAAAAAAAAGTCAGAATTGTGAGATAAAAAGTCACAATTACGTTTTTTTATTCTTTGGGCGGAAGCAGAAAACAGAATTGTGAGATGTAAACTCAGAATAAAGTTGCAAAATTGCAAGATATAAATTCAAAGTTTGTATCTCGCAGAAGATTGTGAAAACAACCTGTACAATACAAAGTAATAAAAATACATAAACCAACAGAGAATAAAAATGCATTATATTCACTAAATGTGCGCTAAAGCAACTAAAAGGCGATCTAAAAATAAAATGTTTTTAGGTAAGATTTAAAGTTAACCTAGTGACTGCGCCTCACTAGACTGGACTGATCTGGTTTTGCTGTGTGGAGACGCGCCTCAATAGAGTTTGATTTCTATTTCTCCTGTATTTCCCACAACAGTTGTGAAGAGGCGTGTAGTGAAGCTGATCGTTAATTTCCTGTTTTACTTTCGGACCGATGAGGACGAGGTGAGTGTGAAGCAGCGTCTGATCTGGATCTCAACAGCATCGTTGATCGTTTGAGTTTGATTGGCTTGTGTTTTCAGCCCATCGGTGCTCTGCTGCTGGAACAGTGTCGCGTGGAGAGAGAAGACGATCAGGTTTTCTCCGTCGGTAAGAGCAGCTTCAGACACACTAACAGCTCAACAGTGTAGAAATATAGAAAATAAATTATCCAAAACATTTCATGGCTGTGGTTTTCATTTAAAAGCATCAGCTCTTATGTTTTAAGAAGGGCTATTATCATGAACTAAAACCCTAAAAAAAAAACACACTTTTATTATTTGAAATAAAATAAATGTTAACTGAAATAAAATAGAATATAAAAAACTGAAACTGATTTTATTTAGTTTAGTTTAGTATATGTACTAAAATAAATAAAACTGATATAAAAATTTTGAAGTAAAAACTACATAGACATATTTTTTAAAAAAATAAAAAATTATAAAACTGACAAAAAAAACAACGAAATTGCAAAAAAAGGGAAATTACTTAAAAACGGCTTTAAAATGAAAAATGTTAAAAGCTAAATTTTAAAAATGTCTGGTTTTAATTTAAAGCATCAGCTCTTATGTTTTAAGAAGGGTTATTATCATTAACTAAAACCTAAAAAAATAAAATTTTAACTGAAATAAAATTTAAAAAAAAACTGAAACAGATTTTATTTAGTTTAGTTTAACGTGATAAGTAAAACTGAAATAAAAAATTTAAGTGAAAACTACATGGATTAAAAAAAATTAAACTAAAAACTGACAAAAAACAACAAAATTGCACAAAAAAAAAAAGGAAATTACTTAAAAACGGCTTTAAAATGGAAAATGTAAAAAACTAAATAAAATAAAAATGTCTGGTTTTAATTTAAAGCATCAGCTCGAATGTTTTAAGAAGGGTTATTGTTACTAAAACTAAAATTATAAAAATAAAAAATTTATTATTTGAAATATAATAAATATGAACTTAAACAGAATTTTTTACTTCCGCTAGTTGCCTAGGAAACATTTCTCATTTTCATTTAGTTTAACTTGATGTATTAAAATAACTAAAATTGAAACAAAAAACTATATAGATTATATTAAAATATTAAATGCATATAAAAAATGAAAATAATAATATACAACAAAATCGCAAAGAAGGAAATTACTTTAAAAATTTAAACTTTAAATGGAAAAATATTAATAAAAACTATAAAAGTATCTCAATGTGACTTTCAGTATTTTAAGAGAGAAATGTGACGTCACTCACTGTTTCTTTTGACATATTTAATAGTAATAATAATAATAAAACCAACAAAAACACAAAAAAATTGAAATTACTTTTAAAATACTATAAAATTGAAAATATAAAATTTCTTTAAATTCAAAATATTAATAAAAAAAATTATAATAGTATATTAATTATACTAAAATAACCCTGGTTGTTCCTTATATTTCTTGTTTTCTAGTATTTCTGGACGAGGCCGAGCGGAAGTATCTGTTCGAATGCGATTCTCAGGAACAGTGTGTCGAGTGGATCGATGCCATCATTAAAGCCAGGTGTGTGTCGCGGACGTTTCCCATCATGCCGTGCGTCTCCCGCTTTATAACTGCAATCTGCTTCCGTCTCTCAGTTATGAATTCATGCGCAAGAACCTGATCTACTATCGCACAGAAATCCATCGGCTGACCGGAAAGGTGAGGGAATGGCTATTAATTAATGCAACAGATACCTCTCAGATATCGATATAAGATTAATAATCTGTGATCTCCTGTAGGACCCGCTGGAGCAGTATGGGATTTCAGACGAAACACGCTTTCAGGTCAACAGTGGTCTGCCTCCGCTGCCTCCTGCGGCCACATAAACACACGCAGTCGTCCGCTTTCTCTGCTGTTTGGGGTTTTTGCTTGTTTTTTACAGTCTGCCAGTATCCATCACTGTACATTCTGACCGCTGTCATCTTTTATTTTATTGTTTTTGTGAGTTATGGGGGAAATGCGTAATATTACTGTAATGAATGTCTGCTGAGTTAGAGCCAAATGCAATTAAAGCTTCTTCCCAAAATCAAGGTCATTGTTAATGAGGACAAACTGAACTGGGTCGCCTTTTAAAAACTGATTCCGGCACCTTTATTGCCTTTTATAACTGTGCTGTTAAAGGTTTATGCATTATAGTTTCACCCAAAGTGCACTGAAGGGGTTTCGTAGCATCCAGCTTTTATCTAAAGCATTAAAGCCTTCAGTGAATCAGACCGGAGCGTTTTTACAGTTTCTGTAAAACATTTTAGCTGCTTTGATTTTGTGGCTCTGAAGCTGCATAGCGGTCTTATTTCACCCCAAAATCAAAAGAAAAAAAATTTGAAAATTTTTGTACAAAGAAATTTAAGCTTTTTTAGGATTTTTAAAATATATTATTTTCATGAGAAGCACACTGTTGAAGAGTTTTTTTTTTACAATTAAGTTATTCATTTAATTTAGCCGGTGAGATAATTAGTATCAAGATTTTTTTTAGAGACATGGAGACTGTATGTGTCTTTTGTAACTTTGAGGAAGAATCCATAAAACATTAATTAATTTATTTATTTATTTTTGGATTGATAGTAAGTAGCTACTATTTAAACATACAAAATTCTAAATTTGGTAAATGAAAGATATTAAGATCATGGTAGTTTGTTTCCGCCACAGAATAAAAAATAATAAATATAGTAATAAAATAACATAATTGTGACTTTTTATCTCCCAATTCTGAGTTTACATCTCTTTTTTCTTTTTCTGACACAGAATAAAAAATGCAATTGCATTTTATCTCACAAATCTGACTTTTCTTCTAAAAATTGTGTTTGTATCTCACATTTCTGAAAAAAAATTATACTCAGACATAAGCTCAGAATTGTTCAAAAGTTGCCATTACTTTTTAAAAATGTTTTATTCTGTGGTGGAAACAGGTTTCCATATAAGATATATTTAGATATATAAAGATATACGTTTATTATATACGAATAAGAGGAAAATTGTTGATGATTTGTTAATTGTATATGGAAAATACCATTATATTTATAAACAAAAATGGGCAAACAATAAAACATCAACAACTGATGCAACATATCGAGACTTTAAAGATGCAAGAAATAAAAAAGGCAAAACGAATTTCCTGCATAATTTATTTGGTATTTGTTTCTTTCTGTTCATTTCCCTGTGACTGTATCAGTGAGTACACTGTGTAAATCCTCTGTATGCATATGTATGTAAATGTATGTAAATGTTCCTTAAGGGATTTTACAGAAGACTAACAGGATGGAAAGTGATATTGAAGACAAACCTGTAAATCAATGATCAAAAACAAAATTCACAAGTAACTGATGACACAGCTGCAGGGGTGGAAATAAATAAAACCAAAAGAACAAATAACAATCTCAAAATCCCCCAATTTAAACATGCAAACAAAAAAAAACAAACAAAAAAAAAAGGATTTTCTGTATACTTGCAAGTTAACTTGTGTCACTGATCATGTGACTCTCTGTACAGTCAGATTTCCTTTATTAAAGCTAAAGACAGACACACCAAATACTGATTCTTATTCAAATTAAAGGAATAAGCCCCGTGACGCCGTGGTGAATTTATAACAGCTAAGGTGCGTTGTTAGGTACGACGCGAAGCGCGTAAAACCCCCTTAGCTGTTATAAATTCACTGTAAACCACGGCTTCACGGGGCTTATTGCTTTTATAAAACGGTTATTCCATATACGTAGTAAGGTTTCACAGAATAAAACAGAGCAAATAAAGTGTAATGATATTAATAAAAACAGTATTCTTCCACCAAACAATGTAGTTCCTCAGAATCAGTTGTGGTTGCTACAAAGTGGTTGCCGAGCAACACACAAACGTAAACAAAGGTGTATGTTACTTTGTAGAGTCATTTACAACAGCTTCGAACACGGCTCAGCCAATCAGAATCAAGCACCGGAACTCTCCGTTTTATAATAGATTTTTAAACTGTTTACTCAAGTTGTTATGCTGAAGTCATTTGTAATGAACGTTTCTGTAAATAAGTCTTCAGGTTGTTCTTGTAAAAGAACATCAGTGATTATATCAGCAGCATCTGAAATACTCATTAAACGATTAACATTTAACATGCAAAAATGAAAAAAAGCCCAGTTCTGTGTATGATTTTATCAAGCTGATAGATAAAAAAATAAATGCTTCCAAATGTACAAGCGGAGCTGTAAAGATGAGACGGTTCTCTGTTATATCTTTATTTCTCTGCTAATGCAAATAAGACAACAGTCAACATTTACAGTCTCTTTCTTAATTCAGGTTTCTTATTGTGAGCGATTCATCCATGCACGTTTGCATAAATAAATCAATAAAATGTCCTATTTGTTCTAACTGAAAATGCAATTCGCTTGCAAATGCAACAGTAAAATGTGTTGTTGGTTCCTGCTGAGCTCAGGATCTGTGAAACTGAAAAGGGAACGGTGTGCTTTCAGATGCACATCTATAACAGAAATACACCACAAACACTTGCTGAACTGTGGTTTCTCGCGCTGAAATTAGACTTCAGCTACAGTAACGAGGTCAAATCATGATTTCACTTTGATTTGAAGTGCATGAAACATAAATACATAATACATTAAATGCATTTTCTAAAAAAAAAAAAAAAAAAAAAAAAGTGATGCTCTTCTTCGGTACGTTTGTCTTGTTTTCAAGTGCAAATCTCTAAAAACTCATAAATCAAGATTAATTTACTTGAGATGCAAAATGACAAAAGATGAGAAGTGTTGTTTTCTGAGAAAGTGATGAGATGTGATGGGTGAAAAATGAGTTTATGATTAAAACAAGATCCAAACAGATACCTGTTCTTGTTTTATAAACATAAACTTACTTAATTTTCTTCAATTTCTCAGAATACAAGACTTCATATCTTCATTTTGCATCTCAAAATCCTTAAGACGTCTGGACTGAAGGATATTTAGATGCTGTACTGATTAAAACACTGAGGAAGATGTTCATTGTTTCTGCAGTTCATGCAACATTTAATGCCACGACTTTATGAATTTAAGACGTTCTGTCTGATTTAAGCTCTTTTTAAGGCCTTAGTTTGTGGAAGGACGAATTAAGACTTTTTTAATACGTCACAAATATGCCACGCTTTTACAAAAAGAAGCTAACTGTTGTTAATTTTGTCGAAGCTGATGCGATGTTAAGGTGTTTCTTATTGGATGCTGGTAAAAATCTAGTATTTATTTGTTATTTAATTATTATATTTGCTATTATTTTTATTATATTCATAAACTGCAAAAAGTTTTTTCTAACTTTGGGTTTTTGTCTTGTTTTCCAGCACAAATATCTAAAAAATCAAGATTATTATTATATTGTTTTCTGGGTAAAAATGATCAACTTAAGCGAGTTTCTGCTTAAAACAAGAACAAATGTCTGCCAATGGGGTCAGAAAAATTATCTGGTTTTCCCTTTGAATTAAGTTTATGTTTCTGTCCTCACTTTCTTGTTTTAAGCATAAACTCACTTAACTTCGAGCATTTCTTTCAGAAGACAAGACTTTATATCTTGTCATTTTGCTTCTCTGGTAAATGCATCTTGATTGAAGAATATTTAGATATTTGTGCTGGAAAACAAGACAGCAGTGTGAAGTCACACGGCTTGAGAAAACGCCAATGTTTGAACAATTTCACAACATCTAAACGGTCAAACTTGAATGCAACATGACGCAATGGTTTAAGATGTAACGTTCAATATACTCTTGTTTGTGCAGTATGCTCGGCTCTCAGTGATAATGATCCATGCAGAACTCCTGGTGATTTCAGGTGACGGTTCGCACTCGAGCGATGAAGAGCGCGGCGGCGGCGTCTTCAAACTCCTGCGCGTCCATCGTGGGACCGTCCTGCTGCTCCGCGCGCGGCTGAACCTCGGCCATGGCCTGAGCCACTTTGGCGGGAGAGATCTTGGCGCTGGCCTCCAGATATCGCGCCACGTCAGCGCCGCCTGCCGTCTCCAGCGCCTCGCGGAGGGTGGAGAGCACCGCCTGGCACAGCGTCCTCTCAGCGGGACGGTCCGGAGCGCTGGCCACCGCCGCGTACAGACACTGAGACTTACGGATGTAGTCGGCGAACACGGCGCAGGTCAGGACACCCTGCCGGAAGAGCTCGAAGGGCACGGACTCGTAGTCGTGGCTCTGGATGCGGCGCAGGAGCGGAGCGGCGGTGGAGCCCGAGAGCCCGCCTTCACTGCACAAACACCGCAGCATCTCTGAGTAGAGCCTCCCGCGAACACCGCCGGCACCGAGACGACGCGGGACGCTCTGCGTCAGCAGCTCATACGCCACACGGACGTTGTTGTTAAACGCTGACCTGCAGGGGGAGAATAAAAATAAGAACCACATGAGCTCAAACTGAATCTGAACTAAATAACACAAAAAAAAACAACAACAAGGGAATTGCACTGGTTATGTGTGTGTGTGTGTGTGTGTGTG